ATCCTCCATTTATTATTATGTGCAGCTCAGCTTTTCAAGGCAAGTTTAATTTACCTGCAGATCATATTACCTAGCACATATTTTTAGATTTATAGCTGAAATGGTTTCTTCTTGCATTGCATGATTATCTGAATGGAACATGCCGCTATGATGGACGGACCTCAAACTGTTTGGATAAGAGAATCACCAAAAAGGCACATGTTTTGTGACTTCTGTGCAATTGCCCAAACCCACAAAAGTCTACAGGCCCTGGCTAGAAACATCAGATACAAGAATGATTAACTCAAATACTCTTCAGTCAGCTCCTAGAAAAAAGTATTTTTCTCTTTGACTACAGATAGAGAAAGCCCAGCTTTCTACTCTAGGTGGTGTCAACAAGTCTCACAGCAGGGAACACAGCCATGATATTAAACTTCTTATATTGGCCTATTTCCTTCATTTTTGCAAGATTCAGAAGAGTGTGTCAGTCCGAATATTTTTTTTAAGAGAGCGGAAGGTGGAAATGCAAACTAATTCCTTATTTTATTGGTAGAGGATGTTATTTAAGTTATCCCAATCCCATTCGCTCAGCATGTCCCCGCACGACATTTATCCCGTAGCTCACACAAGACTCATACACTGCAGTCCCACTTATATTGTAAATGAATTCTGATGTTCTTTGCTCAAAGAGGAACTCTGTGTCTCTACCATGAACTGACGGGCTTCTTACGGTGTTAGTGAGCTTCAGGACAGGCCTGCCAAGGGCAGAGAGGTTATTTTACAGATTTTAGAGAGACAAATTCAAAATAGCACAGGCTTCAGACAGAATGAATTTCAGCTACAAATGCTCACGCCCTATTATGGTGTTGCTCATTAGCTCAGAGTTATCCCCAGAGAGATTTAATCTTCAAGATAAGATCTCCATTGAAGCAGGCGCTGGTGGGAAAGGAAGGCCAAAGCCAGCCCTGCCATCACCCTGCTGTGTGATCCAGAGACCATCACGTTACCTCCACTTTGCCTTTGCTCTGTCTTGCTAATCAAAGTCCAAGCTCCTGAAGGCAGTAGCTCCCTCCTACAGTAAGCGCACTCTATGCCCAGCACTCTAGGACCACTAATGTTAAGATAATATTGGTAAAATAATGCATTACATTTGGATGAATCCTGCCCCACTGCAATGGTGCGTAGAAGTTGATGCCGCCAGGCTGGACCACCAGTTTTACGTTCAAGAGGACTCCTCCAGCCTGTTGTATTGGCTGCAAAATCAGCTTCCAGTATTGCCCTGCAAAGCACTCATTTTCCCCTCTGCCTACCCGGGGCCTGGAAGTTGGACTCCATCCAAGCCATGCCCGAAGGGGAGCCTTTAAACAGGTATCTGGATGTGTGACCACTCTGTCCTTAGGTTCACTTTGGCCCTTTGCAAATTAGTGAATCTATGACCTCAAAGTATGATTCATCTATAGCTACAGCTGATAACACTCATTTTAGTGTTCATATAGCAGCCTAGGTCTTTAGAGTGTCTTCTCTTTAATTCATTTTCTCCAAGTATGACTGTCATGGTGAGAGAGGTATATATATACACACTTAAAAAAAAGACATTTTTATGCAGTTTCTGATAAACAGACATAATTAACAGAACAAAGACCCAGTTTTAAAATTTTGTGTAGCGTCTGTTAAGAAAGCCATCCAGTGCAGGTCTTGCATGCATTACTTGATTGGAGAGCTGTCTAGCTGTTCTTCTGCAGTTAAAGCTAAATGGTTTCTATGATTTTTTCTTACCTGGAGGAGGAAGATGAAATCAAATAGGAGATTATAGGCAGTATGACAAAATACTGAAAAGCACCCTGAAAATCAGAGTAATGGAGGCTCCACCATTACAAAATGCCTCTTTTTTGTTTCAAAAGAGCTATTATCTCACACTCTAGAGTCTTTATATACAAATCACACCAAGAACAGAAACGATACTGGGAAGAGGTTTAGAGAGACGATGACAGAAGTTCGAAGAATTTCCGTGCAGTGTTAACATTGAGATAAGTGTGTGTATAAGGGAAAATCAACTTAAAAATGAGTTTTGGGTTTTGTACTAGCCATACCCCCCAGATGAAGAATTTCTACACAAGCTAACCCTTGGAACAATTCTGTTAGAGATGTCAAAGTATTTTCGAAAAGGGTGACCAGGCACTAACAGAAACTTTTTATTCAGGTTATGGATGGGGAAGAAGATGAGGGAAGCTAGCAGGAGGGACAAAGGGCCCTTAGAGATTTCCCTAAGCAGGAGTTTGTATCATCTGCACTTCATAATTGGAAGTCCTTCTGGAAAGCCATGGTTTTCAGCTATTCTGTGATATTTCCAGAACTAGTTGGAGGGCTGGTTAGCTGGTATCTACTTATCTGTGCTAGACAGCTAGTCCCATGAAGCATCTGTGCTTCAACATTGCTGCAGCACCTTGGTAACAGCACTCTCAAACTACATCTTGAACTAACGATTTGTAGCAGTTTTTTTTTTTTTAAATCTATGATCCATATACCAGAAATTGAAGTTTTTGTGTTTTAATTTTCATTCTTCTTTACAGAAGGGACAAAACTGTAATGAAAAATGGAAAACTAACTGAAAAATATAGAAAGTGTTTTTAATAATTAAAAGAGGTTGTAAGAGTTAATAGAAACTGTTTCTATTGTACTTAATACATGGAAGAGCAGAATCTAGAACGAAGACTGCCTGATTTTCACATTGCTTCTATAATCTGGCTCAGCATGACTCAAAGAAGAGTAAAAATAAGGCTCCAAATAATATTTCAAATAGTTTCCTTCTAGCCAAATTGGTTGCTGGGGAGGGGGAGACAGGCCAGTTCTGATGCCTTCCCACAAGGTTGACCCTTCTGAAATGTGTTCCTTCTGGGATCTACAACCTTCACAATATCTAGCTTTAATGGCCCTCGGACCATTTTAAGACGTCATCTAGGATGAGATGGCAGGACTAACTGACAAGCTGGGAAGGTGTGGTTATTCAAAAAAAAAAAAAAAAAAAAGAAGAGCCTTTACAGCATCAGCTTCCAGAGTCCTGTGATTATATGCAAGTTTTAGCTCACCTGAGAAATTAAATTTCTAGTTCCTGTGGCTATAAAAGACATTGGAGGAAATCTGAATGCATCCTAAACACTCAAAAAAAAAGTCAATAATTATTTTGGAGGGTTTTTTTTCAGCTACTCTTATAATACTGCAGGGCATTGCCCAAGATTTCAGGGCATCTGGACTCACAGCATTTTTGACCACAGTCAGGCCCAAGATAATGAATAACACTCTGTGAGAGCAGGGCAAGTGAAGAAGGGCTGAGAAGAAATGGAAAGACAATGACAACCATTTAATTAGAAAGCAGTGGGTGTACTGCAGATGAGAAATAACAAGTGTATTTTGGAAGGTGTGACAGGGAAAGTTTCTGCTGTACCATCAGGAAACAAGTGAGCTTGCGGAAGTGTGTTTAGGAAAGGAATTTTCTACTGAGAAAGCACTCTTGTAGGGACAGAGTATTGGCTTTAATAAGATACTTTCCTTGTGGCATCCTCTGGGATACCATCCCTCTGTCTAATGAAGCTCTTAAATGCTAAAACTTTGCTTAAGGTTACAGCTTCTCAAGATAATTCTAATTTGAGAAAGGGAGGAAAAAAGACATAAAAGAAATCACACTGCAGCTCTGGAGTCACTGGTCCATGGCTTGATGCAATACACTCCGGAAGAGGGATGTGCCTTATCTCCTGAGCTTACACAAAGCAAAAAGGTGGCTGAGGATCCTTCTACCCAATCCTTCCCATTTCCCTTGGTAACCTCCACAGTCCAGGTCTTTTTGCTGCAAGCTGGAGAGTGCTGATCAGGGTAGCCTGAGGTACTGCTTGGAGCACAGAGACGCCCACAGCCAGCGCTCCCCTGCTGCCAACTCATAGTCAACCTCTGACAGATCACATTAGGGTGAACATGTTTCTTGTCATTTATGCAGGTAAGTCTGCCTTCTGGCCTTGCACAGCCAGCCAGGTCTCTAGGGCTCAAGGCAGGTTATTCCCAGCTCACAGAGCAATCATAGCGCAGACAATGCTGGAGGGCATTGCTAATTCTGTTGACGGGTCATGAAGAGAACATAGGTTCTCTTTACAGAAGCTGCTTTCCCTGGGTAAGGAGAATAAATGACAGCAAGAAGTTGAATCAGTAAAGTCAGCAAGAAGGACTTAGAATGTATCAAAGTGCTGCATTCTTCCTTGGGCACAGAGGCAGAAAAGGACTTTAGCACTCATCAATTCCTTCAACCTCCTAGGAACTGTTTCAGGTTTAAAGAAGTTCTTACAGCTCTGCTGGCCCTCAGGAAATGGCTGGGCATGGAGAATTATTAAAAACATTCTTTATGAACAGTGTCTCAGGTTCCCCATCCTCCTCTGTGCTGTTACACGCTGGGGTCACCTCCACTTTGGCCTGAGGAAAACATAGCCTGCAACAAATCTACACTGCAGTCCTCATTCTGACTAAAGCTAACATGGACATACTCATCCAAGGTTCGACTTGCTTGTTTTGGTAAGGTGAATAGCAAGGCTGTGATATCACAGAATTCAGCAAAAATTGCTGAATCGCCCCAAGAGTATGAAGGAATATGGGCTGATTAGACCATGTGAGTTTCATGCTGCTTCACCCACTCAGATTAAAATAAAAATTAAAAGTACTCAGATTAATTTATGCTAGCTGTAGTCATGGTCATGAATGAACAGCATATGGAAGTAGACAATATGAAGTGACCCGCCATGCTTGGTAGTTATTTAGCTATGGAGACAGGACCTGGGCAAAAGTACATCCCAAAGTCAGAAATGACAGCTAGAACGAAGACCTGGTGGGAGGAGGAACATTTTAAGTTTAGCGGAAGCCCCAAGGAAAAACAAAATCAGTATGAATTTCAAGGGAACATGGCTAGCAGGCTGTTTTTTCTTGAATCTGTCCTTGATTCAGTTTGATTGCACTGATACACCCTTCATTTAGTACCTCGTAGGCAGCAATGTGTTTGGAAAGGTTACCTCCTTCTCTACAATTGCTCATGGCTTTATGTCTCCCTGGAGACGTTGCAGATCTGGGAGAGGAAGGGCTTCTCTGAGCAAAGCTCTAGTGACTCCGTAACTGCAGGTGTCATTTTATAGCTTCTTCTCAGAATGAGATCATGCTATCAGGAAGACAATTCTGCTCACCTTGGTTATGCTTCACTGCTTGCAGAGCTGTGCTGCTTCTGAGTGCATCTTTATTTATTTGTTCTACATTTGCAAAGAACTTTCTCAATCCCCTGAAATCCTGACTGTCCCCTCTCATCCCAGGTAAGTGGATATTCAATAAAAGTTGTGCTGAGCAGACTTTTCACTGGAAACAACAATTTGTTAGTCTCTTCTTTGTGACTGAATAGTGGTGACCCCACAACATCCAGTATAATTACTAGCATTGCTTAGATTCAGAGTACATTTTCTGTTATTTGATACTTTTCTGTTTTATTATTTCAGTTATTTCATGTCAGGGTTACACTTTGTATTTCAGTGCATGCATTTTGATAAGCATTATAGAATTTGATACTGAAAATCCAACACACACAACACGAGAATCTGTGTTAAAAGGGGTAGTGCTGGGTAATGCTTTATCAAACAAGTTTTTTTTTTTTTTGATATCTGGCGTTTCTGAACTATTGCTCTTAGAATAGTTTTCCTTACTTTTTTTCCTATGTCTGTGGTTTGCTGTTTAACAGCTTCCAAACTGTATGAATGCAGAAAAGGAGAGAGAGCAAGCTTTGCTGATCAACCAGGGACAATAGGGAGGGAGAAAATATAGTCAGAGAGAAGATGTAGTGGAAAGAGGTCTGAATTTAAAGGACTTTGTACCATATGCCTTGAAATAGATCTATGAAACAAACAGCCCTACTCTTTTTATGGATGTCAAGCAAAGCTTCTGAAAGAGAGACTGTGCAGAGGTCAGACCACGCATCACCCAGCAGACCCCCCACTATCTGGAGGTCTGCAAGCCAGCGTGGCTGGCTACACAAATCCTCCAGATCTCTGTATCTATCACAAACACTTCACATTTGATAAATCTGAAGTCCAAAGTTTTCAAGCCTTGTGCCAGCTAAGGGACTGTTTGCATGGGAATTAGCTTGCAGCAGTATTAGCAGTGGCAGAGAAAGGTCCTTTAGAACTGTCTGCTGGATTTTAGCCCCCGTTGTTATCAGTAGAATATTTTGGACATATCTTTCCTGCTCTGTTGCTCAAAATCTTCCAGAATGCATGAATGTAGTAACAAAAGAGATAAAGGTTCATCGATTAATCATAAGGAATGGGGAAAAAGAAACCTAACCAAGATCTAGTGGAAAGAGATAACCAATACTGCTGATCTCGGGCATGCAGAAATGAAAGTCAGGCACAAAATATTCTGATCTGAGCAAAGAGAGTCTTCGCAGCAGGACAGATTTCCTTTCACTGTCATGCCAGACACGCTTTCAACCTGTCCTCCAAAGAGACACACAGCTATCAGAGATAACCTGGAGAAATCATTACTGATTACTAGCACCACAAAACCTAAGGATTTCCTCCCAACTCACTTGTTTCTTCTCTGACAGGAGCAAGAGATCAAAAATGAAAGAGGATGTTTCTTCCTAATAGTCTTCTTAAAAGTCAAGTAAGGCTATTAGAATATAGATATACAACCTGTTTTGCTAAGAAGCATGAAAGAAACTGCTATAATGGGAAGCAGAAGTGATATCCAGAGATATCCATCAAATGAGGGATGCGGAGCCAGACAAGAGTTATCTCAAACAACAGAGATCTCCAGCCTGAGGAAAAAACTCCATTTGTTGAGAAGAAAGTGATGTAGGATATTTGCCCCCACTATAACAGCTGCTTGTTTGGCAATCAATTTTAGTCATTGTGACAAGACCAGCAAGAGATGAAAACATGCCAGGAGCAAAGGATCATATTCACAGCAGTGCTTAGGCACCCATCTTTCTCAGCTGTTGTTTCTGAGAAGTGTTTCCTCTTCTTGATCCCAAAATGGCTTGTCCAATCCAGTGGCTGTGCAAAGATACTCATAGCCTGGTGTAAACCAAGGGCATTAGGAACTGTACAACAGCAGAGGAGTCCTCCGATTGGAACTGGTGAAGCAACACACAGGAGAGTCTTGGTGCCAGGAGAAATGAAGGCCGATATTTAGTCCTGCAAGAACAACAAAGGCCACTCCAGTCTTGGAGATGGCTGCAAAAAGGCAGTGGAGCAGAGCTACTGCTCTCCATGGGAGAGAAAGGGAGGGGAAAAATAAATAAAGGAAAGGTCTGTCCACCCAGCTTTATCGTTGCTAACTCTAGTAAGAGGATTAGCCCCAGAAAATAGCAGCATGAGCGTGATCTCCCAGCACACCGTGCTATATTGAATCACTGATCTTAAGCAGAAATTTTCTACGGGGAGACAAACAGGCTTTACAAAGCCAGATCTGAACTGTCTAGCAGGAAAATTCCCTCAGGTAAACCTGCCACTGTCCAGGTGTGGGCAGGTGTAAGGCTCTGCACCTTTATTCTGTCCCTTCGGGTTACAATCACGTTTGAAGTCCTCAATGCTACGGTGGGCCTAGGCCTATTTTCTAGAAATTGCTGACTAAGCAGTGACATAATAAAGGGAGTTTACTGTATTAAGGGCTATGAGGGCAGGCACCAGAGTGTGCAGCTTTTCTTACTGTTGTTGTTAATCAGAATACAAATAAATTATTTGTTCCATCTGTGACTCCAACAAATAAGATCTCCCTGCTGCCTTTTTCTCAACTGCTCCAGTCATCAAGTCTTTTTGTTTTGCATGTCACGCTGGCCATTTATGACAGACTAAAATGGATTTGCCTTCAGGCAGTAATTTTTTTTTTTGTTTGATTTGGTTTTTAAATGCATTGAACATAAGAACTTTTGAAACTTCATGATGCCTGAACGCTTAGAGCAGTCATTAAACATTTAGTGCATGAATGGGAAAAAAACAAACAAACCAACAACCAAAACCCCAAATGAAGTACAAAACAGGGGAAACAGAGTTCAAGGCAAATTTTATCCAGGGGAAGATTCCCTCCTCTGCTTGGAGATGAAGGAAAGTTGGCTCTTCCATATTCAACGGTTGCTGGGACCTGGCAAGCTACAATACCTCTCAGGGCTGTTTTAAATGGCTACGCTGATACACAGGCATCCATAGCGAGCTGAAAGCACATGGAGTAACATGAATACAGAACATCCCCTGCACTCAAAGAGCCTCCATCTCCCTCTGGAATGCCATAGTCTCTCTACTTCAAGGTAAGACTGGTGTGCATCTCTCTTTGCTCAGTATTGGTGCAGGACTGGCTGCACAGTGTCCAGGCAAAGCTATAAGGACCACTTTGAATGGAAGAGCACAGCACCAAGTTTCCTGGTACCAGAATGCCTGGTGGACTGGGACAGTGGCAGATGGTTCACCAAGCCCTCAGCAGTTATTGATAAATGTCTACTGCACTCAGAAAGGTCCAAATGAAGAACTAACACCTAGCAGGCAATTTATAGACAATGGGCTGATGAAATAGGAGAGGCAGAAGGGAATTATTTCTTTAGCTGATGTGTACAGAGTTTATAGGGAGTACCGACGAGCACAGTCTATGGGGAGTGAATTATTCCAGGGACTCTCCAGGAGTTCAGCCAAACCAAGCAATGCTGATGAAATCCTGATTTCTGTGATGTCCTTGACTTCAAGCCACCTGGACTTTGCCTACTGGGAAACCATGTAGTCTCTGGAAATAGCTGTAGCAGAGAAGATGAAGTATGAAACAAGTGGGGCAGTTCCCACTCTTTGTTAATGCACACTTCAAAGTTTAACTGCAGCACAGGTCACTGCAGCTGGAGGCTTCTCTGCACAGAGGTAGTTGTTGGCTACTCTGATTAGATCAAGAGCGACATTTGCTGAAGGAATATACCTTTTCAAATCATGGCCATGGATCTTTTCAACTGCCTCTTCTTTAATAAAGGAATCTGAAAGCACCAAACGGACAGGAAAATTCACAGGGCTATTGGCCTGTTGCAGACGGCAGCTCAGCACTGTACAGAACTGGACTGCTTCCACATCAGGACTCTTTCTGTTCTTCCCACAAAGAACTGAGCTTTTTCCCTGGGCCCAGCCGCAGTTTAGGATGCTGGGAACTCCCTGATGTTATCTGAAGCTCCTCAACTCTTCTGCACCCCTAAGAAGTCCTGATCTGTGAGAAGAAAAACGAATTTGATGATCCCTGACAGCATTTACGGGAGAATTGGCAAAGGCAAAGCCAGCAGTCCATACTGAAGTGCCCAGTCCTGCAAATGGTTGCTACTTAATCACTACTGGACTCCTGAGTTCAGCAGAAGGGAGCTCAGGATCAAGGGATTGGAAAGCAGTTTTAAGTCACATCTGCACCTGACCCTTTTATTAGCAGAACATGGATGCAATTTCTTGCATAATTCAAATTAGCCTGAAGAAATTCACACCGATTCATAATGGCACCAATATAACCACTGAACACTGCAGGGAAAGTTACTCTAATCATATCGGCATACAATCTTTGCCCATGGAGGTCTGCAGGTAAAAAGCACAAAGGATGGGATTAACACCATGTAACTGTAGAGATCTACAAGGTCAGCATCCATACCCAAGTGAGCCACGTGGACCGTTCCTTTAGGCAGCAGACAGTCACGGCTCTGTCGAAGGCCTAATTGATCTGGCTGGGTGACTTGCACTCTAACATGCCCATTTTCCCCACCGACTATAAAGAGGACACCAGGGGAGCAGTGTAGACGTGTATCTGATCATAGGAATCTCAGTGGGTCATTTTCAGTGGATGCACTGGGTAGTGGGGAATCCTCCTGAAGTCCTGTATGCTAAGAAGGATAACTGAGATGCTATCCCCAAATCCTTACTATTATGGGCACTCTCAATTAAGCCTGGAGTGTGGATGTGCAAGATTAAACCCAGCATTCAAATTACCTGTTCAGCCTGAAGCTACTTCTGTGTATAAGAACAAAGTCGACACAGAACAAGGTCTTAAGGATGCAGTCTTCAGTGAGGGATGTAACCCAGTGATTTGGAATATAATTCCCTGCATTTGCAAGGGCTGAAATAATTTCACAGCATCTTGAATGGCAGGTTATGGGTCATCATCCATCAAAATCACGGGTGAGCAATGAACAAGGTCTAGGATGGGTGATTTAATAATAAACAAACAGATAAAGTACCCAGTTCTTATGGAGCATGAATATTATTTCATTTTCTATTTACTGTCAAGATCTCCATGATAAATAGTCCTTCATAACTTTCATTTTCACATGCTGGAGTTATAAAACTTAATTGTGTTTTCCTCATGTTTTATTAGGGCAGGGATGAATTTTCATGATTCATCCAGCATTCATAATTTTTATAATCTCATTGTTTTGCTCTTTGTCTCAGCAGCTACAATATTAACCTAGGTCAATAACTCTGTCAAGCAGTAATGATGATATTTAAAATAGGGAATTTAAAGCCTGGAAACTATATCTTAACTCAAAGATGCTTAGACAAAAATCTTTGGTAATCTTGGGTGACTGAGTTGAAAGAAGCCTGGGCCCCTTCAACAACGGAATATATTTGCCTGTTCTATACTTATGAAAGGTTTACATGCTACAAAGTCCTCTTGCATTAGCCTTTGCTTGGACGTGACTTGAAACTGTTAAGTCTTTTTTCCTCCCACTCCTGGTTCCTATCTAATAGAAGGTGCTGACTAAGAAAAGCTGTTTGGGAAATCAAGTGACTTTAAATATCATCACTTCTCGGAAGAATTTCAGGGCACATTTGCAGCCCAAAGAAAACTCAGATAACTCTGTTCTGAGATTGGTTGCTCGGATTCAGGCATCACTAAACCGAAGTGCTTTGTCACAGCCCAACCCACAGGAAAATGGCTGAAGCGGGAGCTGACTGAAGGACTTAAGTATGTATTTATGATTTTCACACTGAAGAAGTACAAGTCAGCCCAGGGTTGGAATTGTATATGCTTTAGTGCTTTGCTAAACTGGAGCTTCATAGAAAAGTTGCTAATATGTAAGCCCCAAATTGTTTTTAATAGCCATTGTTAAGAAGTTCAAGAGAAATCCTGCTCCAGGTCAATGTGATCTTTGCTACCAGTTTTGGCAGAAATAGGAATAGCTTGCTCCAAGAGTTTCTTAGTGGGTCCTCAGACCCGTGAGTACAGACGCATGCATCTAACTGCACTGTCTAATTAGCACAACTGCACATGGAAATAGAGCAAAGTTGAAAGGGAAAAGACCAGATTAGTATGTATAGAAAATTTTGACCTTTCAGCAACCACAGAGCTACCTCTTAAAAGTTGGCTGAAAATATTAAATCTTTTGGTTTGGAACTGCCAAGTTTTATATACTCATTTCTTTCTAGAGGTTGGGCTTCTTGGCAGGACAGTATTACCCCGGGCAATAGGGCAGCCCAGAAAAATCCAGCTAGGAAGCCGGAGGACCAGAGTCTCCGAGCAGATGAAATGGGGATATCAGCAAGCCTACAGCTCTCCCGCTGTGCTGTGAAGAGCTATAATGTATTCTAGGGAGACTGAATCCCCAGGTCTAGCATTACACAGAACTGTATAATGAATAAACCATTCACTTCCTATTGTATTACCAGGACTGTAATCTCTAGGAATCCAAAATTACCTGGAAAGGAATATAATATTCAACAGTAGCGTGACAGTGAACTATCCCGCAAAGCAAGGTGTTCAGTTTATAACATAGTTTCAAGCGCCCTTTTCTGTGGGGAAAAAAATTCCTTCTGTCCTCTAGCGATTTGTTAAATTGAGTCTTTTAAAATTCTGAAATCCCAAATCATGAGATAAGAATATGTACTGTCTTAAACATTTTGGGTCATATTACCAAGCTTCCCTCTGCAATCACAAGAAGTAGATATTGAAAAAACACATCCCTGAACATATGCACATATATTACTTGTCCCTCCTCCTTTTCTTCTCATTCCTCTCACCTTATTCTGTCTTTACAAACCCAGAGAGTAGTGCAATGCCATCTCTCATATCTGCCCAGATTTATCTCCAAGAAGCCCGGGCTGATTGTGCCCTCTTGGTGAACAGTGTCACACCCATCTTAAGGGGTGCAGGCTGTGGTGACACTGGCCTTTGCTGAGTTTGATACTATTTGGTCTGTGCTCCATCTGTCCCAACCATTACAGTGTTTTCAGTACAGTCAGCCTCATACCTCTATTCACATCCTGTTCTCTTTTTAATCTCTTTGGGCATCAGGGGAAAAAAAAAAATCAATCCACTTTATACATGCCATTTTCAGCAGAACTTTCATCTCCCCTGCCTCCAGCCTCTGATGTCTGTTCCTTTTAGTGCATCTGCCTCCAGTCTGTACTGTCAGTACATGAATTTGATATATTTTTACACTGATACCAGACAAGATTTTTTTTTTAAATTAAGTTTAATTGCATCAATCGACAAGAGCTGAGAAAAAAAAAGGTCTGTCAGAGCAGACTTACTCATCAAACGAGCACAGTTTAGACGCTGCAGTGTTTACAACCAGCTATGTGTAAAAGAGTAATGGAATAAGCATCACATCCAACTGCCTTCTCCTCCCCAACCTGAATGACCATGTACATCAATGCTGGTTGCAGGTGGCCTCTAACACATCCCAGAAAAACCCTTCAGCTCTCAAAGTTAGTATTTTTCCACAGTTGTGAACCCAAGGGCCTTCTCCAGGGCTGTGTAACTGCTGTAGACATGACCTGAACCATTTGATGGATGGGGTCTCTGAACTGCTAATCAGGCTCCTGATTCAACACCCAGCTAGCCACAACTTGAATTTTCCACTAACTATTCCCCAGGTAAACCTAAGAGTCACGTCTGAAAAAGCCTTTCCAGTTTGGATGACTTTTGTTGTAAAGGATACAAAGACTAGGGAGGCTCCAATGAGAAAAGCGTGAAGTGTGTCCAGCTCTGAAAAATCCTCAATATCAAACTGGCTCCCATATGGCTTCTCTTGTTGTCTGATGAGAGTTTTCACTTGTTCAGGAAGGGCAAACGAGGAAACAGACAGTTTGCTGCACCTCACAGACATGCTTCAGCTGGAATATTTCAACCACTGGATCCAGCCTGGAGACACAGCCCCTTTCAGAAAAAAATCTCTCGATGCATGAGAAACTACAGTCCCCTTTGCAGCTCGGCTTTCTGAATGATACCTGCTCCTCAGGCACAATGATGATAACGGCCAGCTAAATGCCATCCTCATTAATCTGCAGGAACGCCTGGTTTCTGACACATTGCTTTGGAGGTGGCTACTTTAGCCCCTGCTTCACCAGCCAGATCTTTCTTGATTACGTTTGCTTTAACTGGTGACAGAATGTGTAACCTCGCTTAAGGAGATGAGACACTGATTGCATTTCTTTTCCCATCTCTCTACAGGCTCATCATTTGTTCATTCAACACATTGCTGGGAATGATGATATGGAGCAGGCTTCTTAAAAGCTGAAGCTTGGGGATATTTGCTTTGCTCCCTCAGGAAAACACGGAGACTTGCAAAGCGTGTTTTTATCGAGACATCCTACCTTGAAAGAGGACATGATTAAAAAGGTAGAAAATGTGAATATCATTTACATTTAGGTAGCTATAAAGCCAAACTAATATGTCTCTTATCATTAAACCTATAGCTGGAGGTGGTTATTTATGTTCCATTTCTGGAAGCCACATGACCTGAAATTTTCTTTTTTCATGGAGAATAAACTATAACTAGGTTTCTGGATCTGCAGGGAAAAGAAGCTGGAACGCTGACTTAGAAGCATCCTTATGACTCCAGAGGTAAATGGAGAGATCTAAACATTTGTTTTTGGAATCCCATGATTTTTAAGTCCCTTAATGTTTGCAGCTAGGGCTAGTTCATGAATTCTGATTGCTTGGTACTGAAAATACTGCTACATGCCTCTCTAGTGGCTCAAGAAAACCTCACAGTGAGCATAAAAATAATTTATTCTTCCTTTAAAGCACCTTCAGAGTGGTAAAGCAGAGTGGTAAAAATAGCTTATATATAAATAAGAAGCTGATCAGCTGTACTTAAAATATACAAAGTAATTGTCGTCTTCTCTCTTCTCTCTTGAGGCTGTAAACTGAGGGCGTTTGCCTGCTCTTTCCTAACGTTCTTGAACTTTGAACAAAGAGACTCAGTAAGGCGGTTCACTTATTTTCTGCATTCTCTTAAATATATGTTTTCTAAATTATTTAATGCAAGTTGTCTTCATGGTTTTCAGTTCAATAGAGAAAAGATGATACCCCAGTGATACTGTTATAAATGACATGTAGGTTCTGATTTCAATTTCAAACTTCACATTAGTGCTGGCATCAGTAGGGGCATCTCCCGATTTTACATCAGCTTAAGTGAAACTAACATCAGACCCACAAATATTTGATATTTAAAATAGCCAAAGGGGAAGTAGTATTACTAAGAAACTAGCTAATTATTGACATTTATGATAAAATAGCTGGGATGCCAAATTTCTTTTCCACAGCTCTTTAAAGAAAATACACTGTTTTAACTACTAGGAAGTAAGAAAGATATTGCCAAAAGCTCTGGATATAAAAATCACGACATGTAGTCTACAGAAAAAAATACGCAAACTATAAAGATAATTTAGACAAACCAGGTGACAATGGAAAGGATGGAAGAGAATTTTCTTTGCCACCTGTGTTTGAATGATATGGGCACCTTGGTCCAGGCTTAACTTGGACAGGGTCAGGTCTTACATTCCAGGACAAACATCAGCAAAGCAGCCTATTTGGATCCCTTGGCTAATTCAAGAGGATTATCAATTAGTTACACATTAAAGGTGATTACAGTGTGATTAGACTGTCCTTGGAAAACCAGCTCAGCAAGTTCCCAGCTCCTTTGTCTAATTTCTAGTTCCCAGGTCAGGATGCCACCGGTTTCTTCTGCAGTCTTGGACGTTACAATTTCCAGCAATAGGCTGGAAAATAAATCAGCCTTTGCAGCACCTCTTATCTGTGGGGTTTCCCTCCAACCCCCCATTGCTAAAGAGTCCCAGGAGCTTGAACAACAGGTTTCTCTAGCATGTGGCTACATGAAGATTTTAGTTAGATTATAGACAGATTACAGTCTGTCTATAGCTACAGGATTGATTCAATGTTAAATGCAGATTGGAAAAAAAAGGGTAGATCTGGGGAGAGCAAGAGATTTGTGTTTCTGTTTGACTAAGTCACAGTGAGAAAAAAAAAGTGACAGAGTAGAACTGATATTTAGTATGACTTTCTAAAGGTAAAATTTTTTTGTTGTTGCTTTAGTTCAGAGTACTGGTTTGTTCTGTTTAGAAATGTCGCTGTATTTTACCTACAAAAAATGAAAACAGTACCTGTAAGAAACAGAGTAAAGAAAAAAAAATGAAAGTGCCTCTTTTTTCAGTATTTAAAACTGCTGAAGGATTCAAGAAATTATTCACCCAGTTTTAGTCAGTGGGCCTCTGGGGACCTGGATGCACAGCTGTCCCAGGCTCCTTGTTTCACCGTAGAAGCAGTACCAGCATCTTCTGAGTCTTCAAAGCAAAGGTCAAAATTGACTAGGCAGTGACTTAGGCAAAAGGAGACTAGTACAGAGATTAAAGCCAGGCTCTTCTAAAGATTCTTGGAATTGGAAGAGAGGATATAACAATTTTTTGAAAGTATCAGTTGAAAAAAAAAGACTGTTCTTATTTCCATGATACAAGACAATTGACTGTTAGTTTTAAGGAAATTTAATAGCTGGGGGGAGGGGCTGTTTGTTTTCTGGTATTCAGCGCTATTTTGGCTGGAAGCAAGAAAAAAGGCAGTTCTCACCTTTTAGTAAATGTTGAGCAATCTGAAAAAAAATAAAGCCCACTGTGGACGGACCTCCTGTTGCTATCACCTTACCACAAAACAGCTCTACTGGATCAGAGCAGACTCATCTCATCTAATACCCTGTCCCTAC